GCAATAAGAACTTGCTGCCAGCCTTGATTGTTATCAATTTTAATATTAGGAGTGTAATCAGGATTGACTAAAGAGGTTACCCCTTTTAGTCTTGAAATGTAAAGATTTGTCTGTTTTGTTTTATTTTTTTTTGGTTCAGCCATTGAGAAGAAAGTGAAATTGGTTGTGGAACCATTTAAATTTGCTGATCATATATTTGTACTAGTTAAAAAATCTGGACCCTAAAAATGGGGGGTAGTTGTCAAAAAAAATCCGAGTCGATCTACATTTCTGGAATTAACCATTTTTGTGTAACTATACTTTACAAATAATTTCAAGCTTTAAAATTTTGACAACCCCAAATTATGATCAGCGTTTTTAATAATAATAACTATGCCAATTTCTGACTACATATAACATAAATTAAAACAAATATAAATTAATTATCTCCTTATTTAACAAGTTCATTTGCGAAAAAAAGTAACTATCAAACAAAGTCCTTTGCAATAGCGCGCGAAGAATTTTGATTTTGTTATATCAGGTAGCGTATTTATAGTTTTCACATATTTTTATGCTAAAAATGTTTTAATTAAAAAATTACGTGTTTAATTGCGTAACAGATCAGCATTATATTATAATTATAACTCGGAGTTTCATTTTGATGTTTTGTAAAATAGGTAATTCAAATAACCACAGTGAAGATAGTGTAAAAACAAATATGAATTAATTATCTTCTTATTTGAACAAGCTCATTTATGACAGACTGTATTAAAAGAAACATGAAAACATTCCGCTCCTAATCAATTTTAATCAAAATGTTATCAGAATATTATTTAACTCTGAATTTTATACAAAGAATCGCTAAAGGGATTCTTTACTCGTTTGTTTCATTTATATTGATTCTTTTATCAACCATTGCAATATTTATTGCAGTATTTATTTTAGTATTTATTCCAAATTTATTTATTTTTTCTATTATAAATATTGCTATCGCATTATTATTTCGAAAAATTATCAATAACGATAACAACGTCAATAAATTTAAGCCTGCAATTTCTAATAATAATAGGCTTTCAGTTTCTTT